CGGCCCCTCCGGTATTGTTCTCTAGTTTGTCTGAATTTTACCGAAAATAAGAGGAGCGCCCTTTGTTTGTCTGGGCTCGATGGCGGAATCGGTGCTGGATGGGATTCGGGAGGGAGCGGTGTCTGCAGCGCGGTGCGAGCGGAGGGCGCTCGGCGCGGTTCGGGGGCGATGGCAGACGCGTTATCGATCCCGGCACGGGGTGAACGCTGCGGGCGACAGGTGCAGCTGCGGCCGGAGAGACACGGGCACGCTGCTCCCAAACGAGGGGAGACAGGCGTGAGAGCGCGGCGTGTCCTTGGGTGAAAATCGCAGCGAAGCAAATCCCCTTTGCTTTGTTTCTGCGGAGTGCGTCCAGCCTGGAACACCCGGCTGCCCTTCAGCCCTGTGCCAAGGAGGGTCCCTTCCCTGCAGAACTCCCGAGCAGGTGACAGCAGAGCTGGCAGGAGCGGGCGCAGGAGGAGCAGCTCGGCAGCTGCAGTGCACTTTGCAAAGCTCGGTTTTCTTGAGGTAAACACTTAAAATCATGCGCTGGTGGATGTGTGACCAGCCGTACTGTGTGCACCACTATGTTCCTCAGTACTTACTACTACTGTGAAGCTCAGCTCCAAAGCCAATGTCTGGATGTTTACTGTGCCATCCCTGGAGAGGACTCCCTGTTTATTCTTGTCAGGCAATAACAGCAGGGAGGAAAATCATCACTGAACTTTTTCTAATTAGAAATGAAGTAGGCTTGTTGGTAATCAACTGTCTCATGTCATTAGAATATAATACATATTCTCTGTTTGGCAATACTGATAATTTTATCTTCAGAGCTTACAAAGGGGTTTGTGCATGTATAAATTTTTCTCTATGCATATATATATTTTAATCACTAGGACTCAATGTGGTGTTAAGCAAATCTGATATTTGTTTATACTACATTAAAATAATATATGTTTGTAGGGCAGTGATAGACTGCAAGGGACATAATTTTAAGTCACTGTTGTCAGAATAAGGTGGCCAGGTTGTGTTTATTTTGTCTGAAATAGGGAGATGGGGAGGATTAGAAGGAAAATTTAGCTGGCACCATTGTGGCTTTTTTTTTTCTTCTTCTTCTTTTCAGATGTGGCTTGTTCTTTCGGGAAACATAAAGGCCAGTATTAGGAGATATTGAGTACTTGTCTGGAAGTCAGTCTGTTACAGAAGGGAGCTTGAAGATACAAGGTTAACCTGTTATTATTGAAGAAAATTGTAGTGTGCTCCCTTGCCCTCAAATAGGGACATCTCTAAGTAGAGTTTTACTACAAAGCACCTTTAATGCATGGAAAGTTTCCTTTTTAGGAAGCTATTCCTCCTCTCTTAAATGAATTATTAAAAAAAAACAACAAAACACATCTAGTTCACTTATTTGCTCTAGCACTTCCACCAAGACCTTTGCCATCTGAATTTTCTGCCTGCTAGAACTGAAAGCATTTTCTTTTCTGGAAAGGCTGGAAGGTGCCTGACCAAGCAAAAGATAAAAATGCCTGCCTACTGTAATGTGGTATTGCCAAACCCAGTGCTGTGATTGCTGGTATTTCTAGGACAAGCTCTGATATTACTGTGCTCATTACCTGCCCCGTGGAACTTATCTATTAGCATTCAGTTTGATAT